TAATGATGATGCACAACCATTGTGCAATCAAAGCACATACTTCTATTTAAAATGGAGATCTGAGACGTGAATCTTATTTAGATTTTTTTGAGTTTAGGTGTTGTGTGGTATCTTATGTACGGTAACAGTGTACCAGTTGAACATTTATAATGTTTTTGTTTTATTCAGAGTTATCAACAATAAAGATGAAGAAATAGAATTATTTTCTTCTATTGAGTGTAAGGTTAGTACTCTTTCATTGTATTTAAAATGTTGTTGTTTTTGTATTTAAAATGTTAATGTTGTGGTATTTAAAATTTTGTTGTTGTATTTAAAATGTTTTTGTATTTAATTGAAATGTTGTTTTTGTTGTATTTAAAATGTTGTTGTTGTATTTAAAATGTTGTTGTTGTATTTAAAATGTTGTTGTTGTATTTAAAATGTTGTTGTTTTGGTATTTAAAATGTTGTTTTGGTATTTAAAATGTTGTTGTTTTGGTATTTAAAATTTTGTTGTTTTGGTATTTAAAATTTTGTTGTTGTTGTATTTAAAATGTTGTTGTCGTATTTAAAATGTTGTTGTATTTAAAATTTTGTTGTTGTATTGCAGGGTATAATTGGTAATGATCAACGTCACTATATTCTAGATTTATTACGAACATTTCCTCCAGATGCCAACTACCTTAGAGGTAAGAATTGATCATGAACTTAAATTGGAAAACAAAATTAATAACTATGAATTTGCTCAACAACAAAGCTACTGATTATATGAAGTAGGCATCCCAGATGCTGATAATATTCAAATTTAGTCTAAAATAACCCATAATTGTACAAATATGTATATTCAGGGTCATTTCTCTTGAATATAAAGTAGTACATACTTGTTTCAACCCTTTGTTTTATTCATTGACAGTGAAAGGTGAAGAATTGAGTAAAGAAATGAAAGAACATGGTTACCCTAAAAAACATCCACATAAATTAGCTTGTCTACGTCAAGAATTAGTGGATGCTTTTGTAGAGTAAGTACTGTATTGCATCTTCTAATAATCAAATTTGTCTTGAATGACCAAAATCTTACATAAATATACCTGCACACACAAGCCATAAGAAATACATGAATGAATACAGTCTGAGCTGATAGCTTGTGTGTGCGCAAGGGCTGCAAAGATTCTTGAAGTTGCAATTCAATACACTATACGATATTCATCCAATGATACGATTTATTGCTATAATTATCACGATTCATTTATTAGAGAAGGAAAGAGAAAAAAAGTAGAAATTTGTAAAACAACTAACAAATTTGTCACTATTGAGCACTTCTGAACATTTAGAAGTAAGGAATTGTGATAAAAATCTAAATTTGTTAAGTCAAACATACATTTTTGCAAATTTAGATGTGAAAACATAGCACAATTTCTTATACACACTAGGATTCTGTGTCATTTGTTATTAAAGGGACTAAGAATTAATCGTGCCGATACATCGTTAAGAAGGAAAGAATCATGGTTCATGGATTCATCGGTGAATCGTTGCAGCCCTAGTTTGCGCCGGACTTTAAGAAATGTGATGGGTCTCAGTAGCAAAGCATCCTATAGCATCCTTCTACCCATTCTAGAGTCTTGTGACTATCATTGTCCCTCAATCCAAAACAGAAAAAAACAAGGGGACCAGTTAAAGCCTTATTTCAGTTTTTTATTATTAAATATTTTGATGTTGATTAGCCAAGTTTGATGTGGAGAATGTTTGCTATCTACACACTATTTAATTAGTTAATTATTTTCTAGGAACAGATATTTAGCCTTCGTCCGTCACGCAGCCTTCCAGTTTCAACAATTACAGTTGACTAAACAGAATCCTAGTAAATTATTAAATAAAGATATCAAACCTGTAGAAAAAGATATCAACTCCAATGATAATAAGGCAACTGAAGACAAGATTCCAGTAAGTTCCATATAGATTGTATTTTGAAAGGCAATAGCACTGTGAAAATTTGCATCAATGCCAATACTGTTAGGGACTAAGGGATCCCAGACTATCTTTACTTAAACGAATTCTTCTATTTTTGTGGGTAGTGTATTTTTTTTATATTTTCGAATAAAAGAACTAAAAATTGAGATTTCTATATAGGAAATGGTAAAGTCTCCTCCCATACCCTACCCTTGATTTTCTACTTCCTCTATCATCTTTCTGCCTTAATTTGCCCACATGCCATGTGGTGCAGAAAAGTAGAACGTAAAACTCCATTCATTTCATTTTCCGTTTTTGTTCCTTACTGGTATCCCTGGGGACTGGAGAAAATTAATATTCAAGAAACTTCATGATGAAATGCCATTTTCTGACTTTGAATTCATTGTTTAACTAGCCTAGAGTAAATGAAAAAACTGGTGTATTGGTAGTATGTGTGGTTAAGAACTGCTCTTATATTTGAGTTTTTTTGTTTTTTTTCTGCAGGATGGTGTAGAGAATGGTATAAAAGAGAAAATAATTGGTAATGATAATAAAGATACACAAGAAGAAATTGTTACTGAAGAAGCTAAAAAAATAGTTGAAACATTAACTGGTTCTGATAGTGCTACTTGTAAGTCACCAAGATTCTTAGATTAGTGAATAGATATTCAGAGATATCTAATGAATCTGTAGTTATTGAATTATTGTGATCTTGTTCCATATATTTACCTGGGAGCCGCGGTGGCTCAGTGAGTTAGACGCTTGCTCGCTAACCTGAAGGTCCAGGGTTCAATCCTGGCATAGGTCGAGATAATCGAAAAAGAGTAGGCTAATGCCGCTGTCCTGGCAAAATTTCCCTCATTGTAACCTGCATGGCGTTGCCCGTCTTCATTAGCCCACATGGTGCAGAAAAGTAGGACGTAAAACCCCATTCATTTCATTTCATTTTTTCCCTTATATTTACCTGTATTCTACAACTCGACTTTCAATAAGTCACCTTTCCTCATTTCATACAAACCAGCTGCAAGAGAGTCGTTGTCAAGTACCAGCCATATCCTCAAGAATGCACAAGTTCAAAGGTCATGAATAAATCTATC